ATGCTCAAAATACGAAAAAAGATAAACCTGAAGGACAATGTCCACTAATATAAGATCCGGCATTAAATCTGAAGAGACACCTGAAAAGAATTCTGAATAGAAGTTCAGAATTCACACTGAAGGCCACATCAGTCTTCAAAAATGCTCCCGGATGTTATGGACAATCCTTTGTTTCACCTTTTTATACAAAACAAACTAACCAAAATGTATTGAGTTGGTTCTTAACCAAAGAGGAAAGATGATGTAGACATGGAGAAGAGCTCATTGAAAATTCTGACTGTACTTCAGCAATGAAAGGGCAAAATCAATATTGAAGTTTACAGATACTCTTGGTCCTCATTATTTCTTTCCAGGATATTCACGCTATACTTTTGCCTGAAGGGGATTTTCAGGTGAAAAAATGTTTTAAGGGCATATCTCAGCCATGGTTTTCAACAAATCTATGGTTCTCATAACTGTATTTTGATGAAGGAAAGATTCATGCATATCCCTACAGAACACAGGTGTCAACTCAGGTTGTCATGTTGCCATTATGTGATGTATCAGGATATTTTTCTCCCTTTGTGGAGTGGTGGTGGTCGTGGCTCGCAAGTGACGCATCTGGCCCACGGGCCGCCAGTTTGACACCCATGCTACAGAACATACGTTCTGTACCTAGAACAGGGATGGTGAACCTACGGCACATGTGCCACAGGTGGCACATGGAGTTCTCTAGTGGGCACACAAGCCATTGCCCAGATCAGCTCCAGCGCACATATGCGCGCACTTCCCACCAGCCAGCTGATTTTCAGGTCTCTGTCATGCATGCGGGTGATGTGCATGCATGCTCAGAGGGTGGGGGAAGCAAGGGGATGCGGCGCCCCCTCCCACATTCTATTAAAAAGAGCCGAGGTGGGGCAGTGGGTAGGGTGCAGTACTGCAGGCAACTTCAGCTGACTGCAGTTCTGCAGTTCGGCGGTTCAAATCTCACCAGCTCAAGGTTAACTCAGCCTTCCATCCTTTCAAGGTGGGTAAAATGAGGACCCAGATTGTGGGGGCGATATGCTGACTCTGTAAACCGCTTAGAGAGGACTGAAATCCCTATGAAGCGGTATATAAGTCTAACTGCTATTGCTATTGCTATTGCTATTTTTGGTGCCAGGAGGCTTCAAAGAGAGCCTCCAGAGCCCGGGGGGAGGCTGTTTTCACTGCCCTGGAGACTCGAGGAAAGCCTCCGGCAGGGTGAAAAACAGGCCTACTGGAAGTCCAAAAACAGGCTTGTTTCTGGCCTCCAGAGCCTGGGGAAGGTCATTTTGGCCCTCCCAGAGGCTTGAGGAAAGCCTCCAGAGCCTGGGGAGAGTAAAAGCGGCCCCCACACACACCGAGGTGCAGGAGGCTGAGTAGACTGCACCGGGGGGGTGTCATTCACACATGCATGGGTGGCATGTGCATGCGTGGAGGGGGAAGGCACATTGCATTGTGGTGTGGGCATGAATGCACATGTGCCCGATAGCGTGCGTACCAACAATTTCAGCACGCGAGGAGAAAAAGGTTAGCCATCACTGACCTAGGATAATGGAAAAAGAGAAACATCAACTCCCGATAACCCCAATCTATGCTGGTGAAGGGCAATCTCCTTATTTAAAGGCTAGTAAGAAATATCTCAAATTTGCCATGACTTTGAAACCCAATTACGCACAATTCTTTTGAGAGATCTGAGTTGCTGCTAGAGAAGAGGTCTACACTGAATTATAATCCCAGCAAAAACAAAAGAAATTGCTTTCACCACTTTAATTGGGGGGAAAATGAAAGCATTCAGATAATCGACTCCTGGGATTAGAACAGAGAACATAAAATGCTTTTATTTCCTTATCAGCACTATAATTGGAATGAGGCAAGTGACAGGCAAATTTTTAGTGGCTGTGAAGGGACTTTGGGATATGATAGGAAGGTGATGATGCCATCTAGTATATCCTAGCGAAAGTAGGCATATCCTATCTTTCCCAACTGTTTTCAGTCTCAAGATGGAAGAATACCAAAGTTCAATAATATAGGTGAAAAGGACCTGGAGAAGTTGCTGGTTGCTGATTCCTGAATTAGGCAATATAAATATATTTACACACTTTAGGTAACTGTACAGGGAACCACACAATTCTGAATTTGCCACAGCAGTTAATACTAATCCCATCCAACGTAGGGTTGAGAAGAAGAAGCAAGGCTTGTGTGTACAGAAAAATAGTTGAGTTTTCCTTTTTGCCTTGCCATTCTGGTGGCCTAGATTTCATTGCTTCTCCCACTAATGACTATAAAAGAAAAATGCCTCTTCTTACTAGCAGAGGAATGTCCTGGGCAAGGAAACAAGGGAAGAGGGTTGGACAAAGGTGTCCCAGTTAAAATAATTACAGAGATCTGCAAGTAAATTAAACTATTCTTTCAGTGTTAATTTTGCCAATTGCTAGCCCACAGATAACAGAAAACTGTCAAATAATGGTAAACTGATGATAATGTTCCTCCTACTGAAACCACAGAAATGAAGGGCCCAATTTATGGCATACTGCAAAGAGAAGTCATTGACCACGCTTCTTTGATTAATGACAGCCTGGACTTCCACAGCATTTTCAGGTCATATACAGAGAACCACTAAAATCAAAACAAAAGAGCAGATCTATAGCAATAGGAATAAGTGCACCCCCCATTTCAAATACTTGAAATTAAACATTCCCCCAAAAGAGGATGAACCCAAAAAGAAAAGAAAAATGCTAAAACCATTATCTGCCCCTTTTATCACATTCTCAGCAGATTTAATATGCCTCCCTAATTTAAAGTTAAATTGCTTGGGGAAAAACCCCTCTTCTTCCTTTCACCTAATTTAGCAATAGGAAGCAGTCGTGTCACAGAAAAATAAAATCATGGTTTCCCCCTTTGTAAGTAATCCTTGACTTATGACCACAATTTAGCCCAAAATTAATGTTGCTAAGTGAGATAGTTAAGTGAATTTTGACACCCTTTCTTGACACAGTTGTTAAATGAATCACTGCAGTGGTTAAGTTAGTAACACGGTCAGCGATGGGTTTCACATAAGATTATCACTGGTTCACCGCATGAATGCTCGCTTCGTGAGCATGCGCGCCTTCCACGCATGCACTTTGCTCGCACCACTGGCTTACACGCACGGCTTGCACGCATGCGTTTAGAAAATGTCGCTAAATAGGAGAGTATAGAGCAGGTGCCGATGGGTGGCCCACCCGCAGGTCGCCACTACTGGTTTGCCCAAACCGGTCCGAACCGGCTGAATACCATCTGTGAACACAGTTATTAAGTGAATTTGGCTTCCCCATTGACTTTGCTTGCGATCGCAAAAGGGGATATCATGGCCCTGGGACTCTGCAACCATCACAAATATAAGCCAGTAACCAAGTGTCTAAATTTTGATCACATAACCACAGGGATGCTGCCACTGTTGCAAGAGTGAAAAACGATCTGAGGTCACTCTTTTCAGTGCCTTTGTAACTTTGAACGGTCACTGAACAAACTGTTGTAAGTCAAGGATTACCTATAGAATTCTGAATTTAAAAAGTTAGTGGCAGGAAGTCTCTGTGTCCCAGAAAAATAAAACTTATCTCACTGCAAGTTTCTCTATTGCTTTTTTTCTTTAAATGTATTAACAGAGGAACATACGACTGGTAGGAAGAGGGATTCCTAGAAACACTAGGCTGACATAATCTCACAATCTGGCGAGGTGCAATTATCTCTAATTGTGCAGTCTTGTTTGACACACTAGTGCTATTAAAGAGATGATAGGTATGTAAATCTTGCACTGGTGGGAAGGGAAGGGAAGAAAGGAAAGTGCGGGTTTAAAATTATACGGCATTTATCAACTGAAAGCAGCAAGAGAAACTGGACCACTACTGTATATAGTGTCTGTCAGCCGGAGTGACCCAACAGCTGGAGATGCTGCTTCTCAAATTTACTAGGAACAACATTCTATTTATAAAGAAACACAACCAGCAGGGATCCCTTAGGATGAAAAGGGAAGATGAGCTCATGAAGGTTTCAACTGAATGCTGCTTGCTCTTAGAAAAAGGGAAGGGAGCAATAGGAGGGAGTCTCTTTTACTGTGTTCCAAGCATTTCTCAGCTTGCAGGGTTAAAAAGAATGCCTTTCATCCGTATCCCCAAACTCAATAACCAACAGATGAAAACCCACACTAACTTTATAAGCCACACCCAAGATAAATAAGCGATTTGCTGCTATGTCACTGCATGGCAGCAGCTGTAAAGAGAAGAAGAAAACTAGAGCTGCAGTGATATTTGTAAGCTGGCTCCCTGCTTAAAAAACAGATTTTAAATAGCAATAGCAAGAAGTCCAAGTTGCTCAGCAAAACACATATCAAGCCATTTGCTCTGTCCAATGTTTGGGGTAAAGGGAGGAAAATATTTAAAGAGTGCTATTTCATATGTACAAAGAGCCTTTCATTCCCAAAATACATCTGCTGAACAACAGTCTAGGGGGCAGACTCAGGTTTTTGGATAAACTCCTTTTAACACAAGATATTTTATTTCTATTCATTAAATTTTAAGGAAAGTAAAAGAAGGAACTAAGATTCAAAAGAAAAAAAAATCTTAGTTCTCCTTCTCGCTTCCCTTCTGTAAACCTCTGTGCCTGGGTTGTGTAAACTGAGACAAAAGGTTGTTAAATAATTCGCCAAAGGAAACACATAATTTGTAACAAAGCCAGTTTCAGAACTCCACAGTTCTTGGGTTGCACCCAGATATTTACTTGCTGGAACTCCAGCAGCTATAAAGCTCTTTTGTTTAATACAGTGATTGTCAGCCTCTACTGTTACTGTGAAACCTCTTGATCCCCATAACTATACCTGAAAGTTTAAAGTAACAACATACAAAAGGTTAGAGTAGATTATGGAGCACCATCTACTGGTTTATTCAAGCATTCAAGTCTAAAAAAAAATCATTTGTTCATATTATCTTTTTTTTTTTTAAACTAAATAGTAAATTACTTACTGCCTTCATTTTGGTTGTCCTTATTTGAGTTGTACACCTGCAAATGAGAAAAAAAGTAATCATAAGAGTGCCATTATATCTTCATAGTATCAATACTGTATGCTAACACAGGCCTCTGTAACCAGGGACAGAAAAGATATCCCATCTTCAATAATCTTTCTTT